CGTCTGGAGAAATTGCATTGTACTTTGTTTTGTTTTTCTTTCATTTCACAATCCCACTTAAAATAACGCTTAAAATGATGAGCACAGTTTTTGACTCTTTTGTTGAAAAGGTTAATTTCATGTGTTTGTGTTCTTAACCCGCTTCATATTTATACAGATTATGTTTGTGTCTGTCAGGAACTCAACACATAATAAATTTATATCTCATGTCACGTCGAGTCACGCGAATTTTAAAAGCACGTTCTGATTTTTGAGAATTCCTGCTGAAAATGTGTGCGGAAGTATGCATAGTATGTGTGCATAAATATTTATAAATATGTAAATCAGGTGATGCATCACACTCTGTGGGATACATGGAAATTATTGAACGATTGGGACTGACAATATTCCAGAAATGATCCAGCAATAATCCAGCAACAATAATAGTCCAGCAATATTCCAGCAATCTGTTAGCAACATTCCAGAAGAGGTTCCAACAAGAACACTGTGTCCGTGTTGAGACATAAGCCAGGGCCTAGATTTTCGAAGCTCTCTTAGCACTAAGACAGTCGTAAGTGCCATACATTAACATTAACTTACGACTATCGAAAATCTAGGCCCTGAGCGTTAACTAAGCTATACTAGTGAATGAAAGCTTTTTGGGTGAACAACAGTTCTTTATTCAGGTGATGCTACAGATTCTTGTGTCGTTGTCACCTGACTTGACTTAATATTTGGTGTTTATAAAGGTCGCCTTCGCCGTTGAGCATTTCGGCAGATGTAGTGAATCAGTTAGTAAACAGAGTTATGTATATACAGTATAACTAACAAAAACAACAAGAACATAATTGAGAACACAGAAGAATGTTGATATATTGTCTTAACTCCTGGAAATTTGTTTCCTATAATAACACCAATTATCCTTTATAATCCAAACAATTTGAGTACATGCTACAACATTCATATTTGCTCTGATCATGTTTTTATTCACGTTGCGCATGAACAGCACGTGCTGAAATATTCATGCACAAACTACTCATTGTTTTCACTGATGCAGAATCGATATAAATTATATGAATGTGCTAATTTTTCCAATATATACATTGTGTATGCATTTTCGTTATCGAAATCACAGGTATTTCGTGATTTCATTTTTTGTATTTATTTTATTCTCAAAAACAGTGACCTTAACATGTATTTCTAAATAAATGCTTTGCATATTTCAGTACGAATCTTGCATGTCAACTTGACGCATTAAGATAATTCAATGAGCTTTTATTTCCATACACTTATACAACTTCATACTGCACTTGAAATAGTTATGCTATGACTCCGAAGCTAAAGATAATATCTCAAAACTTCCGGGGCCTAACCAACGTTGTTAAAAGAAAACAAGTGTTTCAATATCTGTGTAAACAATGGTAACATTTACTGTCTGCAGGATGTTCCCTTTACATCAGACCAAGAACAACTAACCAAACAACAATGAGGATACAAACAATGCTATTTTAGTTGTTTAAGAAGTAGCGCCTGCCGGACAGCGATTTTGTTTAATAATAATTATTTTAAATTCAAACTTTTAGACACAAAGCCCACCATCAACCGTTACCAAGGATACTTCATTCCATCCGTTTATGATGCACTCCTCCACCAAGCCCATTCTATTGTGTAAGCACAATCTATTGTATATACATGTACATCTTCTTCTCTTTTGTAACTGCTCCTATATTTGTACATCTCTGGCTTCCAAACCCCTTGTTGTTTTCTTTGTTACATCCAGTATATATACATCTCCTTCTCTTCATGTATCATTCCTGTCTGACAACAGTACAAGAATCTGTATCGAAACGTCACACTCACGACATAGAGAAGTTGTTATCTATAAAGTTTGTTCAATATTGAACAAATGACTAGACTTAGCATATGTTTATGACGGGTGCCACCGGTGGGACAGGATCACTGGCATCATCACTGTTTCAGAGTGATTCATACAGACATGTTCTGTCATCGTATCGCATGGGGACAATCACTGGATTGTCTGATTCAGACACGATTTATTTACAAACAACATCAGCTGCAACACTGCTGAAACAGATATCTGCTCACGATATAGTCACAATTGTACAATCGACTCTGCTTTTGGCAGAGATTTCCTATGAATGTGGAAAGGGTTTTGTCGCTTCTATTTTATATTGATCTTGTCAGTATGGTTGACAACAAATATAAAAAGTCCAGAAGAAATGTTAGGGCAAAAATCTTAAAATGTGCACTTTCAGAAGAGGAATGGAGAGTATTTAATATGATAGTTCACACATGCACTAGTAGTACTGACTTAAAATGGCTGCAAAAAAGGGTTATTCATGATATTCTTCCTGCAAACTGCTTCTTATTCAGAATAAAGATATCGGACTGACCCCGAAGTTTGCCGGTTTTGTAATAAAGAATTAGAAACTTTAGAACACCTGTTTTGGTATTATTCAAAATTTGGAAAGGTTTAGAAAAAATGGTTAGCCACAACCCAAGTTTAAATTACATTCACAATTTCAAAGATAATGCTCGGAATCAAAGGAAGCAATAACAATCCTATTAACGCCATAAAGACATTATATTCAAGAACAGTCAAAAAATGAATATTCCAAATTTTGGGTATATACTAGGCCAAATTAAGCAGTACTACGACATTACAAAATATAGTTATTTAATTTCTGATGAAAACGGTATATTTGTTAAATTCTTGTCATCATTACATACTATATTGATATTATGTAACTTTACCTCATTGTCTGTACATCATTATAGGTCACTGTATGTACCTCATGTATGTCAAATTGTGTATATGTAGACTGTTGTCAATGACAAACAGAATTGTAAAATTATAGACATGAAAAATATGAAAGTAAAAAAAAGACCCCTTCTTGTCATACAGAATCGGTTACACTAAATCCTCTTCATCTTAACCATGCATCTTAATCTAAATGTGAACCAGATGAGGTGAACTCATGATCACAGACTCGTTTATTTCTACTACAGTTGGTAAATCAGTGGAAGAGAATTGACTGCTTATAATAATAGCAATGACTATCTATAAAGCGCCTGTTTGCACACACTTGTGCATGCTCAAGGCGCTAACACACCATTTCCCCGGATAACCCAAGATGCCTGTTGGGAGGTAAAAAGTAAACAGTCATATAACTTATCCCAAAGTGGTCTGGTCCAGACTCGATTATTTACAGACCGCCGCCATATAGCTGGAATATTGCTGAGTGCGGCGTAAAACTAAACTCACTCGCTCACTATCCCAACGTGTACAGATTCACTGCTGGGTGAACAGATGGTTGGACGGGTAAACAGATGGTTCGACGGGTGAACAGATGGTTGGACGGGTGAACAGATGGACGGGTGAACAGATGGTTGGATGGGTGAACATCCATGTTCAGCACAGCAATATTCATGTTACATTGTTTATGAAACGTTTGGTAAACCCTGTCGCCTTTGGTTGTTTATGTACATCGTCTTCTCTATAAAATATATCAGAATAAAGTGATGAAATTTCCAATTTACTCATTTTCATGCAATTAATGCTGTAATGTACATCCTCATTGTCTGTAATACTGTATCTGAGACATGTTGGCTGTGTTGATCGGGGTCCTTGTCATTGTTTGTTGACATTCTGTGGCTAGTTCCATATTAATTTCTGGAGGGTGGGAGGTTTCATACAAATTATTAGATAGCACTTTTACTGATGTCTTTGGTGCATTTGGCGCAGTACTATACTGCATGATCGTCAGAGTGTGACGAACTATTTTTGTGGCTGTAATTTATTGATAACTTTGACGTGCTCCCCTGGACCTGACTTACGTCTGTGTCTGGGCGTTAATAAATGTTCATAGCCAATAGATATGAGGGAAATGTTGGTGTAGATGGTCACATTACGAAAGATACACATGTCGAGTCGATGTTGAAATTATACGACTTTACCGTGTGTTAGTTACTTTTTTGTGGTTTGTGTATTATCAATTATATGGACCGTTAAGTGTGTGTTATACTGTTGACATATGGGCCGTTAAGTGTGTGTTATACTGTTGACATATGGGCCGTTAAGTGTATGTTATACTGTTGACATATGGGCCGTTAAGGTGTATGTTATACTGTTATGGGCCGTTACTGTTGACATATGGGCCGTTAAGTGTATGTTATACTGTTGACATATGGGCCGTTAAGTGTGTGTTATACTGTTGACATATGGGCCGTTAAGTGTATGTTATACTGTTGACATATGGGCCGTTAAGTGTATGTTATACTGTTGACATATGGGCCGTTAAGTGTATGTTATACTGTTGATACTGTTGACATATGGGCCGTTAAGTGTATGTTATACTGTTGACATATGGGCCGTTAAGTGTATGTTATACTGTTGACATATGGGCCGTTAAGTGTGTGTTATACTGTTGACATATGGGCCGTTAAGTGTATGTTATACTGTTGACATATGGGCCGTTAAGTGTATGTTATACTGTTGACATATGGGCCGTTAAGTGTATGTTATACTGTTGACATATGGGCCGTTAAGTGTATATGTTATACTGTTGACATATGGGCTTAATATGGGCCGTTATGTGTTATACTGTTGACATATGGGCCGTTAAGTGTGTGTTATACTGTTGACATATGGGCCGTTAAGTGTGTGTTATACTGTTGACATATGGGCCGTTAAGTGTGTGTTATACTGTTGACATATGGGCCGTTAAGTGTGTGTTATACTGTTGACATATGGGCCGTTAAGTGTGTGTTATACTGTTGACATATGGACCGTTAAATGTGTGTTATACTGTTGACATATGGACCGTTAAGTGTGTGTTAAACAGTTGACAAATGGACCGTGAAGAGTGAGTTATACTGTTGAGATTTTTCTTCTTCCTTACCTTATTATGCAATATCCAGAATTTCCCATTTTCATGTGCATCCGATCCTAATTGCCAACTCCTTTGTTAATATGACAATTTATTCTGGTCTATTTCTAGGAGTTTCTGCAGAAACACCTCCAGCAGCAAATCCCCACAATTGCTCCGACATGAAACAATGTCTTCCGGGCGCCACGGACGGTGAATACTGGATCTACTCACCTACCCTCGGCAATAAGAAGGTTCGAATCTACTGTCACAACATGACAGGTGTCCCCAGCGAGTATGTGACCTTGGTCCATGCTAACCAGGGCGACTACGTACCCCTCAAAGACCCTGAATGTGACGGAATCGAGGAACCGATGACCGGTGTCAGAGCTGGGGTTACAAGCTTCTCGAGGGTCAAGATCAACATTGAGGTACTTCGATGATATAAACTACATACAATGCATTATTTGAATGTCTTTAACACCACTTTATTCTTTGATGGCGTATTCGAAATAGTCGACTCTCGACCCGAAAATTCATTGAATGATACCCTTCAGACCGTTCTGGTCTCAAGCCAGCTTATGCTAGACGTAAGATAAAATTGATCGGGTGGCGGGCTAGGAGACTTGGTTAATGACGTTCCCTCATACCCAACAGCATAGATCGTCGCTTACATTATCGATCACAGGGTTGTGTGACCGGGATTCGGTTGTGTTCACGTCGCCTCAATATAGCTGCAATATTAGATATTAGTATATATTATAACATGACCCATTAAGATGCCTATATGCCCAGTCATCCCTAGGCAGACGTGTTAACTGGCTACAAAGAAAAAGTACATATGTCTACTCAGAAACGTTGTGTTCCTCAAACTAAAGAAATTGATATTCCTAAATTCTCGTCTTTAGGCGTATCACTTCTAAATGCCATTCAAAGACTCGATAATGATGACACTAAAGCCACTTAAATGGATCACACATATGATCAATAAGTCCAAAGCTCTAGGCAGGTAAGTTCCCTGGTCAAAGCTGATTGCTGGATGGAAACTCCTGATGTATATGACCTGTTTTAGTTTCCTTAAACGATAGTTGGTGGTAGTTTCCCACATGCCAGTTCTCTGTCTTGCCTTGGGAAGATGCTTCCATCCATGTTCCAGGGCAACTGCTCTGAACCCGAAGTTTTGATGTGCCTGTAGAACGTTCTTTGTTGATGCTTGTTGATACGTTCACCTGACAACTACCCAATGCATTTCTGTATTAAAGAGACCTTTAACATGTTTCATATTGTTTAAGAATATGACCGTAATAAAAAACGACTTCGAGTTTGCATCCTCAACGGGCAAACCCAACCAGTACGGGCTGGGCCGGGACTGCTACAGCCGCCATTCTGGAAATGTTCGGAATACGTGTGGACCCAAGGGGACATTCCTCATAGACACCAGAGGGACCGGACTGTTGATCAATAGAAATGTACGTATGTCTGTCACTTTTCTTATCCCGGCAAAATCCCTAGTGCAATATCTTCAACGCGACCTACAGGTATGTGCCTGTTTATCACCATCCCATGTTATGCAACCTCAACTCGACTTGTGCATTGTAATATTCTTAACTCGACACATTTACAACCAATGTTTGAGTCGAAATATGTCTAACACATTATAGTAACTCACACATGTTAATACATTTTTATCGAGTAATATAATATGACCAGAAATTATTGAGAATTTTAGGAATATGTTTAATTGGATTTCTAGTATAAACAACCTTGACCAGCTATCAAGTGCTTGGTTTCATTCAAGAGAGACAACTCTGTTAATCCTTTTTCATTAGTTTGTGAAGAGTTATGCCCCTTTGTTTACTTGCTAGCAGACGACATTTTCAGTGATCCTCAGTCTGGATGATTTAGAGAAGAGGAAGTTGATTTTAGAGTAAAATAACAAGAACATCAGATCAGCTAAAGTGATTTCAAGTAGAACAAGCATCCCTTTGTCCACTGTTTATCATGTTTTGAAAAATATTGCAAATGGATATGGCATTGAGCACCAGGGAGGCGTAGGTAGGCCCAGGAAATTGACTGTCGGTGACAGGAGGCGGCTTGGTATTCTTGTTTCTAAAAACAAACGAAGGTGTTTAGAAAACTTAAGGCTGGATATGATTGATAGAGGAACTGTGGCTGTCTGTAAGGAGACAATTAGAACTGAGCGTCATGCAATGGGCTGGCAGAAAAGTCGAAGAATTCCATCACCGATCATGAAATCTGAACAAAAGGAGCAAAGGTTGAACTGGTGCTTTAGAGCATAGAAATTTTAACTTGACTATGTGATTTTCTCAGATGAAAGTTCTGTGTGGCTGTTTCCTAATACACTGAAATTCTGGACCAAACAAACTGAAAAACCTTTGTATGAGCGCCCAAAATACAGTCCGAAATTTAACGTGTGGGGTGGCATATCTGTGTTAGGGGCAACGCCCCTCTGTGTATCTGAAGGGAATATGAACAGTGAGCGGTACACAGATATTCTCGAGGGATATTTACTTCCATCTGCTCACGTGTTCTATGGAAATGTTAGGATTTTCGAGCAGGACTACGACCCAAAACATCGTTCAAAGCATTCACAGGCCTTGTTTCGGACCCAAAATATGACATTATTAGATTGGCCAAGCTATAGCCCTGACCTAAATCCAATAGAAAAATGTTTGGGGACTTATGAAGGAAAGTGTCAATAAGAAAAATCTGACAAATATTGCTGAAATGAAATAAGAGGTGGTCCGATATTGGGACAGCATGGACCACGACTTTCTTAGTTCTTTGATCAGTAGTATGCCCCGCCGCATTGAAGCCTGCATTGCTGCCCATGGTGACTTGACAAAATACTTACTGTTCACCTGTCTTTGAATCTGGAGTTATGTTCTGCTAATATTCACATTTAATACGTGAATAATGAGTGAAAATTTTATAACATTTACAATCTTTAAATTCTCAATAATTTCTGGTTGTACTGTATCACTTTTTGAGTAAGTCAATAGTCTTCTGTTACAGATAGTGTGGAAATACATGAACGCTCAGTCTTGGGGAATGGTAGTACGTTCCCACAATGGAACCGTGATCGAGGTTCATGGAGGCGGGTTCTGCGGCGGATTCGAGCCAGCGACAGACCTACAACTCCAGATTAACACGGACGAAGGTACAAAATGATATGTCTAACACAGAGAATCCATGGCATAACTACCCGTCTTTGACAGCTATTTTTTTCTTATTTGTACATAATTTTCAGTAACAGACAATTTATCCCTTTATAGATGATGATCACGTCTAGACTCACGTGTTTAGAGTCACTTTCTACAGCATTGTATATGTGTATATTTATCCTATCTCACACGCGCATTTCTCTTCCATATTCCTAGACCGCCTCCGTGGTGTAGTGGTTAGAGCGTCCGCCCGGAGAGCGGAAGGTCGCGGGTTCGTTCCCCGATCGCGTCATACCAAAAGGCGTTAAAATATGATACTTGTTGGTGCCCTGCCTGGCGCTCGGCATTAATGGGTACAACAAGGACTGGTCTGCTCGGAGTCAGTATAATGTTTCTGAGTGGGGTATTCATGCTTCACTGCGGCATGGTATCTCAGTGGGCTAGCACTAGAAACCAGCTTAAGTCTGGGCTAGTACAAGCAGCCGCACATACATACACACACGCATGCACGTCGTCATATGAACGAAATATTCTCAAGCACGACGTTAAACCCAATTTCACCTCACCCCTCACCTCATATTCCTAAGTGGAAACCTGCCTGGATCTAGGTTTCCAGCTCCTAAATATAATTCACCCGAACAGCCTAGCATCATCGTCAATCTGGGCCAAGGGGCTTCTCGGGCCGTTGACCCACATACGTTTATCATCTGGGTTCCCCAGCCAACTCATTCTCTTTCAAGCCAGTTATAGAATAAGAAAATTATGTTGCGGGGCTGAACAGGTGGGTATGTACCGTGTGAGGATAAGAATATTACTTCACAATTTATTGTAAACTTTACACATTTTAAAAACGTATCTCACATCAACAAAATATGTCAGGGTTGAATGGTGGGGCGCATCTCCATAGTCTATAAACCGTAGGATATACACCAGGAAGCTGAAGATTAACAGTTATGCCAAACCAAATAAAGTTACAATTCTAGGTATCATAAGACAAAGTTCATGGATAGGAATGAAACGCTCCCGAAAAGCGTGAAAATCTTGGTCCTTGATCCACAAAACGGTCGCAGCCTTTGATAAACTATAGAGTCGCGACAGGTCGTAACGTTACGAACGCTTTGTGGAAGAAGACAGAAGAAGACACATGAAGTCGGATATAATAAGCGTAACTGTAAGTCCAAACCGTAAGAACAACTTATATTCGACATAGACTGTATCCGGATTTTCCAGTTTACAAGACGGGGTATTATTATAGGATATTTATATAGCGTACGTATCCACGCAATTAGTGCATGCTCAAGGCGCTTGTTTTTCCCTCGGCAAATCGTTTTATCAATCTCAACTCCCTGGGGTGTATACAATTCTTGCACCCACTGGGCACACCAAGTTATTGCGGCATTCCCATCCTTACGAGGTGCCCAGTTACAGCTGGGTGGACTGGGACACATAGTCACAGTACTTTGTCCAAGTTTACTGCACGTTAACCCGCAACTATGTGTTTGCACATATCTATGTGCCAACCATCTGGTCATTTACCAACGGATTCGTGGGTTCTTTTAAGCACACATGGTTGTGTACTGTACACTAAGGGTTGTGACAACACTGAAAGAGTCTGCACACAAAGTTGGCTCCAAGGTTTTTACACTCGGTCACAGGTGGGTATCGCTGTCCTAAGGACGATAGGACCGACCTGCTTGGCATATTCGCATCTTCATCCAATACACCCAATAAACCCAAGCTAGACGTACGTGGAATAGTGGATTGGGACACCGGGATCCGCTGCATGCCTAATGACGATTTCGTTAGATAAAGACGAGTGAATACATCCTCCGATTGGATACTCTGGGAAACATAAAATGTACAATAAACAAAACCAATCATGACTAGGTTTAATACATGGAGAGATGGACGTGATACAAGAGAAGCAGGGTTATTGTGTCAGGAAGACTTGTGCGAACTGGTGAAGGCCTTAGACACCCATCCCAGACATGGGATGTAAAGGCTGTATCTGACCTCAGGAAACATCCCTCCATAGTTGCAGTCAAGGAACAATTGCTGTGGAGAGCCAAAGTGGAGACTGAATCAGCTGATGTTAGACTGGTTTGGTTTTACGCCGCTTTCAGCAATATTCCAGCAACATCAAGGCGGGGGACACCAGAAATGGGCTTCACACATTGTGCCCATGTGGGGATTCGAACCCGGGTCTTCGGCGTGACGAGCCAACGCTTTAACCATTAGGCTACCCCACCGCCCCAGCTGATGTTAGATCACGAAGTATGATGTTACGATCCCAGGTCAAAAGTCGGAAACGCGATGACTAGTGTGAAAACTTGCAAGAGCGAGGTAACAATTATCCCTGGGATTGAGCTGATCGTGGGTGAAGGTGGTTAGCTTATTATCTTTCTTCTGTTCCTCTAGTTGGTTCTTCTGTAACCAAACAGATCAATCGTTACTTTAAGAGACGTATTCCTTTGAACTTCATGTGCAAGGTGGTGATAAAGATGGTTCTTGAAATGGTCACATCCAAAACAGTGTGATCCCAATAGTAGTTCCAATGCTCAAGCGAAGTTACAGTCTTCCTTTTCGGAATACCTTCTGATCGAAAGAACTGGACGTTTGAAAATGGCAGCCGATGAGGGTGATGAAGCAATAAAGGGATCTCTGACAGGTTTCGTACCCGTAAGAGTGTCTCCGCAGACCGAGATAACAATTTGCGAACATCCGAGAAGTGATCTGTTTGACTGGCATTTAGAAGTTGATGACTAATAAGAAAGTAAGAAAGTTTATGGATAACAACTGTCGTTATGGATAACAACTGTCGACTACACTAGTTGTTATCCATAAACTTTCTTACTTTCTTAACATCCGAGAAGGTAGCGACTTCGAACCTGGAAGCGTCTTCTGTCCTTCATCATCAAGCGAAAATATGGGCGGCGTAGAGTTCGTCGTGCCTTAAGACGGCCGATGGGGTAGATCGGTCACTCCGTCAATATAGTGGGGGGCGGTGTAGGGGTTTTTCGTCCATGATGAAAAACCAAAATCGTTCTCTAACAGAAATACAAAGGCTGGCAAAAAGAAGACTGCACGACAAAAGAATGCAAACAAAATCCGATTAGAGACAGGAGATGTAGATTGACAAAATTGTAATGGAAAAATATTTACAACAGGTCACCACGGAGTGGCGATTTCAAAGAGAATGAGTTGGCAAGGATAACCACATGAACAGCGCATGTTGGTCAACAGGCATAAGACGAGTGCTGGGAGGTGACCATGGTGACCATGGTGACCATGCTGATGCTAGGTATGAATGGGTGAATTAGTTTTAGAACCTGGATACCTTTGTCGAGGTACGTTTCAACTTAGGATCGAAATAAGAAAGAGAAATATCAATGTCAAAATGTCTCATGTTTCAGATCTGGATGCACTGAGTGCAACAAGCTGTTAGACTGGAGGAGGGAGTTAGAGTGAGTGAGTTAATATTTAACGTCACATCGGCAATATTTCAGCCATATCGTGACGAGAACATTTTACATTGTAATGGAATATGTATATATTATAAAACCTGTCATCGAAGGACAGTAAAACAACTAGATTATCACAGATATATATATGTAAAACTAGTAATTGAATCTAAAACATTTTAACCATAGGGGACAACACAATCTAAAATGGGCTATAGATCGCTAACAACTGAAGGTAGATCACCATACTAGGGACCATGGGGACTTACAGTACATTTGCTTCCTGCATGGGCCCTAGCTGGATTTATATCATCCCTTCAGCCGTTAGCAATTAAGACATATCTAGCCATACATTAAAATTACAAATATTCTACGATTAAAACGGAAAGTTGAAATTTACTTTGAATGTTTTGGGACTTACGTACCCTCTCAGGAGGACAATAATTTTACAGTACTTTAACCCCCTCGAGGATACAGCCACTAACAATCTATGTTACTAATTCAAACTTCCAATCATAAAATATTTAGCTATTTACAAATCTGTTAACAAATCTAATTCTTTTAAAAAGCAATAATTAAATGAGGACTTATATTAGTAAAAAGATCCTTCATAGTTTTGGATTTGAAATAGATATCCCTTGTGATGGAATATTCAACACAGTCAAGCAAGACATGCTTGACCGTGATTCTTTCATCACAAGGGATACAAAACGGAGGATCCTCACCTTTTAATAGGTACTCATGCGTATATCTAGTGTGGCCAATACGACATCGTCGCATAATGACCTCTTCAAATCTGGACTGACAACCCAAGTAAGTGTAACCGATATAGGGTTTTATTGCATGTAATTTATTGATACCTACTTGGGTGTCCCACTTCTTTTGCATCAGATCACGGATATAAGATCTTATAGCAGCTTTGTAATCAGAGTATGGGATCAGAAGTGGTGTCACAGATTTGTTGAGTGCTGCCTTAGCAGCAATATCAGCCATTGTGTTCCCAGAAATGCCAACGTGGCTGGGTAACCAACAAAAGACGATGTCGCATTGGCCAGTAGCAAGTTCATTGTACAATTCAATAATTTCTAATAAAAGTGGATGTTTGCAAGAAAGATTTTTAATAGCCTGAAGACACGAAAGAGAATCTGAAAAGATGATATATTGTTTATATTTACGGTGTTTATTAATATATTTAAGGGCTGTTAAGATGGCGTTTGCTTCTGCTGTGAATATAGAGCTGTTATCCGGTATTCGAGAAGATATTGTTCGGGATCCAATGACAGTGGCACATGCCACTGCGCCACCATCCTTGGACCCATCTGTAAATAAGGATTTATATGTATTATATTTATTTCTTAATTGACTAAATTCTTGTTTATACTGTAATTCATTTGTTTCTGATTTTTTAAATGTAGTTAATGTTAGATCAACTTGTGGCCTAACCAATTGCCAAGGCGGAGAAGAAAGAAGACGGGAAGGAGCTATATTTTCCAGCTCAATGCCGGCAGCAGAAATGAAGGGCGTAATTCTGTGCCCAAGAGGCGGAACAAGAGAAGGTTTTTTGTTGTATAAATCCTCGTAGAGGGGATTAAAGACACAGTTAAATGCAGGGTTAGACTCGCTAGAATATAGTTTAGTAATGTATTGTAAAGATAATTTTATACGACGTTGTGTTAGAGAGGGCTCATCTGCTTCAACATATAGACTATCAATAGGAGAGGTTCTAAAGGACCCAAGACAAAGTCTTAGGCCTTGGTGGTGGACAGAATCAAGTAGTTTTAGGTTGCTTTTGCAGGCTCCACCATATACGATGGAGCCATAATCAAGTTTCGAGCGGACCAATGATCGATATAGGTGGAGGAGGGTAGCTTGATCCCCTCCCCACTTTGAGTTGGAAACAACTTTCAACAAATCGAGTGCCTTCAGGCATTTGGCTTTAAGCGATTTAATATGTGGCAAAAAAGTTAAATGGGAGTCGAAAATTAGACCCAAGAATTTGGCCTCCTTAACAACTTTGATGGGAGTGCCATTTAAAGATAGTTCTGGATCTTTATGCGGCTTATATTTTCTACAAAAGTGTAGACAATTAGTTTTGGATTTGGAAAATTTAAAACCGTTTTCAAGACACCATTTATTTATTTTATTTAAACACAACTGCAATTGCCGTTCAATAGTATGCATATTTTTACCACGACAAGAAATATTAAAATCATCCACAAAAAGTGATCCATCGATGGAATCGTTTAAAACCTTGGATAAACTGTTGATCTTGATACTAAATAAAGTGACAGACAAAATACTGCCTTGAGGGACACCCTGATCCTGATTGTAATGATCAGACAGGGTTGAACCCACTCGGACTTGAAATTGTCTGTCTTTAAAACCGTGATATAAAAAGAGGCAAACGGCCTCTCAAACCAAAGTCATGTAAATCCCTCAAAATGCCATGCTTCCAGGTCGTATCATAAGCTTTCTCAAGATCAAAGAAAATTGATACAGCATGTTGTTTACTTACTATAGCATTCTTAACAAAGGATTCCAAGCGTACCAAATGATCAATGGTACTACGATTTTTCCTGAAACCACATTGAATATTGGTTATAAGGTTATTGGTTTCAAGATACCAAGTTAATCTATTATTCACCATACGTTCCATGGTTTTACAAACACAGCTAGTTAGAGAGATCGGTCTGTAATTAGACGGATCTGTATGATCCTTGCCAGGTTTTGGTATTGGGACTACAATGGCATTACGCCATGAAGGAGGAAATTCTCCAGACGTCCATATTTTGTCAAATATATCTAAAAGTGTCATCAGACATGGTTCCGGTAAGTGTTTCAGTAGCTGGTAATGTATATTGTCATCACCCGCCGCAGTGTCATGAGCTTGCTCAAGAGCAGTATGTAGCTCATGTAATGAAAACACTTCATTGTAATCTTCACCGTTATTTGATTCGAAATTAAGTTTTGTCTTTTCCTGTTGTTTCTGATATCTCTGAAACTCAGGGACATAATTTGCCGATGATGAATTTTTGGCAAGGGTTTCGCCAATTTTATTTGCAATGTCAGATTTATCAGTTATCAAGTTATCACCATCTTTAAGATGGTGTACAGCTGATTTTGAACCTTTGCCTTTTATTCGCTGAACCATGTTCCAAACCTTAGACATTGGCGTGCGCGAATTAATTTTGGAGACATAATTTCTCCAAGATTGTCGTTTGTTTTGTTTAAAGGTACGACGCGCCTTTGCATTGAGTATTTTAAATTTATTTAAGTTATGGACAGTTGGATGATGGCGGAAATAATGTTCTGCCTTTTCCTCGCTTTTCTGGCTTGTCTACAGTCTGTATTAAACCATGGTTTCCGTACATGTGGAATTCGTAGAGGACTTCGGTATACACTCATCAGCTATTTCATTTAAAACATCAGCAAAAATCTGAATGGGATCAGTTATATCACTGAAACAATCAGGTCGCAGTTTTGATTTACAGTTAGTTTGAAATGAAGACCAGTTAGCCTTCGAAAAGTTCCATCTTGTGTACGAGGGAGAATCAGATGGAGTTATTTCTGAAAGGATAGTTGGGAAGTGGTCACTTCCACAAAGGTCATTATGAACAGACCAATCAAATTCATTCAGGAGGTTAGAATCTGCAAGAGATAAATCCAAAGAAGAATAAGTGCCAGTTGCAGGATGCAGATAGGTGCTTGAATCATCATTAAATATGCACAGGTCATTATTGGAAATGAAGTCTTCAATTATTTTACCTTTAGTATTAATGGTAGAACTGCCCCAGAGTGGGTTGTGACCGTTTAGGTCACCCATGATAACACATGGTTTCGGGAGTTGATCATAGAGTGATTGAAGATCAGTCAGCTGAAGTGTCGATGAAGGTGGAATATACAGAGAGCACAACGTAAATGCTACACCCAGAGTAAGTCGCACTGCAACAGCTTGGAGATTAGTGTTAAGAGTAACAGGGCTGTGAATAACATTCTGTCGTATAAGGATAGTAGAACCTCCAGTAGCTCTATCACCTGGAGGGGAAAAATAATTATAGTCTTCAAACTGGCATAAGTTAAAATGATCTGTCTGTTTCAGATATGTCTCTTGCAGACAGAACGCTGATGGTGTTAAATCTTGGACAATTAGCTGTATTTCATTAAAATTTGTCCGGAGTCCCCTACAGTTCCACTGCACGATATTGGTAGATAGACCTATCTTTTAGGCGGATTAATTGGGGATCTACCCCGCACTGTTTTCGAGGGCGACAAGCTATGTGCCCTAGAATGGACGTTTTCGGACACGTCCATGTCCTCAAGTGATCCGTATTTGTTATATAACTGAATTCTATTTTCCGACCCTTTTGGGGCTCTGCCACTTTGTTTTTTGAAAGCATCAAGCTTCTGTTTATGTTTGCTTTTAGCAGTTTGCTGAGTATCAGATGACGATTGAGATTGTGAACGTGACTGAGTGAGTGACTTGTGATCTGAAGATGACTCTGCCTGCCTTTCAGATGTACTAGGAAGTGATTCCGTGGTTTGAGATGATATAGCAGGATATAAACACTGTGGACTGTCACTTTTGACCCAAGTCAAGTTTGTTTGACAGCTTGTGGATGATGTAGATACTTTAGGGCTTGATTCAGTTGGTGTTTTGGTTATTGAAGCATAACTTTCGGTAATTTCCGATCTCTTCACAAGTTTTTTTGGCGTCAGAAAAACTGATGTTTTGGCTAAATTTGATCTTGTTGATCTGCATTTGTTCTTTCCAAATCGGACACTCTTTTGAGAAAGATGAATGTTCTCCTGAACAGTTGGTGCATTTTTTAAAGGTACTTGTACAATCTTCAGTTGTGTGTGTCTTCTCACCACAGTGAGCACACACAACGGACAATGTACAAGTCTTTACACCATGGCCAAACTTCTGGCACTTAAAACATCTGAGCGGATTCGGAATATACAAGTCAACCTGGATGTTGCAGTAACCTGCCTTCAGTGATTTGG